TTCTGTCAGTATTATGTATATTTTATGATTAATTATACATTCTATCTAAGAACACAATTTAATTCAGTTTTCTTAACAAAATATAGACCTACTCTGAACCCCTGACTTGAGGCATCATCTAAGAATCAGCTATATCTGACCTAGACTGTATGTGCACTGAAAGAAGATCTGCTGAGCACTATTTGATCTTATTTCTCCTGTCTAGGTTTTCATCTCGCGTTCGTACGACGCCACAACTCACTTCGAGACCACCTGTGACGACATCAAGGACATCTACCGGAGGATGACGGGCTCAGAATTTGACTTTGCCGAGATGGAGCGCAAGAAGCAGGACATCTTCGGCGACGCAGAGTAGAAGGCAAAGCGTCCGCGACACTCCTGATCATCCAAGACAACGCTGCCGACAACTGAAATCTTAAAAATAGAAAAACCTACACAAAAAATGTACACACCAGTGGGCTGGCTGATTATCCACGTATATGGTTTGCCCATTGAGGAAGTTCATGATATATAGAGAGATATGACATAGTATTGTTGGATAGGGTTCAGGGAGGGAGATATGCTTTTTCAAATCACATTCAAATGGTTGTTGCACTAAACGCTGGTTATGCCTCATCCACAGTAATACCCTACATTCTTCTACTTCATCATGTTAAAATGATGCATAGTCCAAAGATGCCAAATCAAACTATAATTCATAATCAGTACTATCTTACAGAGTGGGTGTGTATGGGGGGGCGGTTGTCTTTTTTTTTTTTTTTTCTTTTTCTTTGTCATTGTGTAAAAGGCATTGGGAAGATATATAATATCTATACATTAGTTATTTAGTCTGCAGGTAATTTTTCATGTCAGGGGGAGGGAGAAACGGCTTGGCTTAGTGCGTCAGAATCGAATCATGTGTGTTCCTCACTTGGTGTATTCAAGCCCAGCAAACAGCACACAGCCGCGTGAGGTGGCACCTCAGCCGAAGCCAGCTTATATTGTCAGATGTTGTGAAATTAAAGTGGTTGAAGTATCTGTATAAGTATGTGTCTTTTTAACCCCTCTCCTACAGCACAGCCAGACACGTACTGTAAGCCGAGTCACAAGGGCCACTGTAGTCAGCATAAACCACCTGAACCTGTTCAAACAGCTTGATTCATTATAACGCATCAGAGGAGATACATTAGTTTCTGTATTATGCAAAGTGATGGATGACCTCCAGCAATTAACAGCAGATTAATGGGGAGGTTGTGCGTGCGTATTGCTTAAGAAGAACAAATGCCTGCTACTGCAGCATATTGAAATTGATAACAACTTTAAAAAAACAAAAAAACATCTTGGGCTCAAATGATTTCTGTACTGCAAAGTAAAAACAACTTTGTCAAAAACTAAAGCTGTACTTGATTATTTATTCCTTTTATTCTTAGATTTCAGACAGTGTTTGTGTGGAGTTAATGATTACTGGTGAATGAGTGCAACACAAATACTGCTGCACACAGCAGCTTTTTGTGAGTGCAGAGATGAATCATCCCTGAACTTAAGTTTGAAAATATCTGGTTATTTATTGACAATTGCATGATTTCTGGTTAATGTATTCTACAACCAAAGCAGCATGGAGGACAGAGAAGCTGCAAAGTGATGGCATCAGGATATTTAGATATCTGTAGGGGAGTTGTAGACTTTAAATTTACGGTTCATAAGTGTAGCAATTCAGGTTTGTTCACATAGTGCTAAAATATGAAATGATCTTGGGCACTTTTCAAATAGAGCAGGTCTACTAAAATAGCAACATTTAGTTTGCAGTTAGGAATTCCTGGCATAATCCAAAAAAGGTCTGACTGAAAAATAATGTGTCTGATCATATGCAGTTAGAAACAGGAAATGTGCTTCATGTATCTAAACAGCTAAGGTTATTGATTTAGACCTTACTGAGGTGTAGTACCATGGGCAAAACCTAAACGGACTTAATGGTTTTATATCTGGAACCTAAAAGCTCTTCTGTAAGTCACAAACATTGTGGAATACAATCGGTGTCTTCTGCATGATACTGTGTATACCTAAACTGGGGACCTCAGAAATACCACGAACATATCTGAGCAGCGGCGCAGGAGACCGCACACCTGTAAACTACGACTCCCACAATTCTGTGCTGCCTCTCCATTCGACGCTTGCAGCGTCAGCTAATGTTGTGATCCTCTGCTTCAGTGGTTGCCGGTCGTATCCCTGTACTCAAAGTGTTTTACCGGTAAAAACATGGAGGTGACAGCGGCACGCCGTTCGTTCCTCTGCGATATCGGTGAGCACTGTCAATCATTTTCAGCTTGCAGCAGCTTACACACCGGCAAACGTTAGCTGCTTTAAAGAATGGTGGCTGACTTTGTTGACGTCTAATCATATTAACTCGTGCTCGTGGCCTCGTGCCCTGCTCGTGACACTGGCCCTTTGTGTGTTATGTTTGTTATAACGTTACTATACATACAACAACGTCAACCATAGCCGGAACATACAGGCTAATAAGCGAGTTAGGCTACACAATACTAGCTAAATATTACAAAGTAGTTATTGTATTATTAACAGTTACAACATTTTATTGACACAAATACAGAGAAGAAATAGAGTTTTACAGAGAGTACATTAAAATAAAAAAGCAGCTTTATATACATATTTTTAAACTTGTGAGATGTGCAAGTATTTCTATAAAACATAGAAAAACTGAACAGAGCTGTCATTGTACTTCTATATTTGTAAAAGTACTGTTGTCACTGTCTGTATAAGGCTTCTGGGCCGACCGGACTGCCCTGCATGAAGCGGCGTCCCACGGCAGGGCCCTGCAGCTGAAGCAGCTGATAGAGAGCGGGGCGTCGGTCAACATGGTGACGGTGGACAACATCACCCCGCTGCATGAAGCCTGCATACAGGCTCATCCCAACTGTGCCCGGCTGCTGCTGCAGGCTGGAGCCCAGGTGGGATGAACCATCATGGAGGACCAAACCTGACTTGTGTAGATATGAAGAAATAAAAATGTTCATGAACAGCGGTGATGCAATCTAATACAGAATAAATACTAGCTTTGTAAGGCTTCTGAAGCAACCTACGGTCTTCAAAGTTAACCATGGATTTATCTCAGACATTATCTACAGCATACAGCCGATAACGTCCCTAGTGTAACATGCCCCTGAACGTAATCTAGAGCTGTATGGAAAAAACTAATATGTGAACTGTTCCTCTGGTTCTTCCAGGTGGACGTACGGACCATCCATGGCAGCACTCCTCTGTGTAACGCCTGTGCCTCTGGCAGCCTGGAGTGTGCCAGGCTGCTTTTGGAGTATGGTGCCAAAGTGAACCCGTCCCTCACAGCCCTCACCGCCTCGCCACTCCACGAAGCCTGCATACAAGGTGACCCCTGCTCCGGCAGCAATAACACAGGGTTCAACCAGTCCTACCCCAGCCTCACTGCTAATAACACTGTACATTCCTCTCAGGTAATGTTGAAGTAGTGAAGTTGATGATAGCCAGCGGTGCCCAACTGGAGGCGTATGATGTCCACTTTGGTCCACCTCTCCACATTGCGTGTGCTAAAGGACATGTTGACTGTGTCAAGGAGGTGCTCAGTGCAGGTCAGCAAGAAGACTGCAGCTCAGAACGTGTGTGAAACAATAGATCCATCCTGTACTATTATGCCATAAAGTGTTGAATGGCAGTGTCACTTCTCAGTTTACAGACACTGTAAAAATATAGTAGAACCTTTTCTACTATTTCGGTAATAGGATATTAGTACTGTTGATTTTAAGACTTAATCCATATTTTTATAAGTTTAATAAGTTTATACTGTCAAAACAAAAGTTTTGTTATATGAAAATAGCATATGAATGCTATGGTGGTGGTTTTCTGTGCAATCTACAGTCTGTAATATTTGCCATGAGCTGGTTGTACTGTTACAGAAACATTAACCTATTTCCGGTTTACAGTCATGGTTTCACAGTTTTTTACCGTAAAATCTACACATTTTTTACCTCTTTTAATTCGGCTTTTGTTACTGATTTCCTTAATTTCTCACAATGACAAGGCTGTTGCACCAGCTATGTTAAGTTCAAAACTAGCTTAGTTTCAAAGTAGTCGGGGCTATACCCTGGACTTAAGATATAACTTAATAATTACACCACTCCTGTGCGGGTGCAAGTCATTCATTCTGTCTCCTTTAATCTGATGATTTAAATAGATATTTTGTTCAAGAGTTCCCATCTCTTGGTAATATCTTGGTCAAGTCGTCAAAACATTTTAGAAAACAGAACAGTAACAAGTGAACGTTACAAGCATATCCTTTATAAATAGTGTTAGTAGTGTTACGACAAATGAATGCAATCTGAAGTTTGCCAATTGCAACATGTCAATCATTCCTTGTGTTTGTACAATAGCCATGATCATTTTAAATCCTTGTGATATGCCTTGGGGGAAAAAATGTGGCTGCATTGCATTCTGGTCTATCGGGGTGTAGAAATTAGTCTCAGATTGATTGATGGATTGATTGTTGAATGTCAGTGCAGAATGACTGCTCCCTTGTTTGTTGGATTGTGAGTGACTGACTTCATGTTTGATATGTGCAGCAGGACAAAGAAAAATACACCACCAAGCAAACAACATGAGCGCTGTAATACAGGATGTATTCTTACCTGTACTAGCACTGTATGAGGGGGGAACTTCATCATAATCTACTTCAACAAACTGGCCTAAGCTCATCTCAACTTCCTACAGGTGCCAATGTGAATTCAGTCAAGTTCCATGAGACAGCTTTGCACCACGCGGCACGAGTCCACATGGTGGACATGATCGATCTGCTGGTGGAGTTCGGAGCCAACGTGTACGCCAGCGACAACCTAGGAAGAAAGCCTGTGGACTACACAACACCTGCTTCTCCGGCTCACACCTGCCTCATGTTTTATGAAAGTACGTCTGCTTCAGAGAGCGGTCAGCAGTCTTTTTCTTTTCTCGGTTTTGCTTTTTGATTATTGTAACTCATGGTAGCTTGTGAAAACCCCTTCTTCTCCTCAGGTAATCCTCTGAGCCTGCAGCAGCTTTGTAGAATCGTTGTGAGGATGATGCTCGGTACCAGAGCCTCGGAGGTCATAGGTCAGCTGGACACATCCCACCGCATCCACAGCTACCTGCAGTACTGTGATCATCCCACATCGATAGACTGACACATGAATGGATTTCTAAACCTGAGCGAGAGACTGACTTGAAATAACAACATCTCTAAAAAAAGGAGCATCATGGATAACATATCTGCTTATAAGTTGAAACACGCAGGGTTATAAATTATATTTCTTGAATGCATGTCATGTGACTCAAGATTGATGTCATCAATGCTGCTTCAATGATGTACATGTCATCGTATTGTAATATAATATTATGTATTATGCAGCATTATTTGTCCCGGCGTTGAATAAATATTTGTTTAGTTCTTCACAGATTATGAAATAGCCTATTTGGTGCAAACACTACAAATCCCAGAATGCGCTTCGATTTCCAGGTATGTCACGTGTCTCCTGCCGCACGTAAACATTACCAGGACGCGGCTGTTTACAAACCTCTCGTGTTGGTGTTTCTGCGTTAACGCCGTTAATTCTTCACGTAGAGGAAGAGACACAGGATGGAAATTGAAAATGCTCGGCCATATTTCTTCGGAGACATCGGTAAGTATGAAGTAAAGACAACATGGCGGGCCGGCAAGACGTTCGCGTTTTCGGTTCTTGACCCAGTTTAACGTCGGCATGTATGGTAGGACTGCCAGCGGGCTAGCTAACATGCTAGCAAGCGGCAGCCCCGGCATGTTTTACTGTAGGTAGCTGTTACTGACAGCTGTGTTATATAATATGTGTATTGTAACGTCCTATTAGTGCTATTAGCCTCTCTTCCGCCTGTTTACATTAGTGTTACTCCAGCAGATGTCTATTAACAGCTTATAGACAGCATAAGAATACTCAGCATGTGTGTTTTTGTCCACTTAAAATAATATTAAGTGCGTTTGCATGATATGATTTATACAAACCACCTTTGTCCTTAAGGGAGCCCTAAAGGGATCACTGAGTCAACTGACGACCCCCAGGGGTCCTAAGTGACATATTTTATGGATCAGTGCATAGCAATAACAGCACAGAACAACTGATCAACTGTACAATGAACCCAAATAATGAACACAATAACTGCAGGAAGTTTGTGTTAAAGGAGCAATTTGGATGGATAAGAGTCTTTCTGATAATGTTTATACACTTTATAGACAATTTTGTGAATTATTATTATTATTAATATGATTATTATTATAAAAGCTTTTAAATTTAATCTAAAAATCTATACTTCTAAAATAACAATTTCATTTAGTTTTTTTATTTTATTAAAACCCCTAAAAATCCTAAAAAGGAAAAAAAGTCCACTCAACCCCATGTGAAGCTTTGGCGACCCCTAGTGGGTGTCCCAACCCCAAGACTCCTTTATTCGCGCTGATATAAAGTATGGTTAAAATCATAGTCCTCAATCTACAGTACTTTAGGAGACCTTTAGTAGTTGCCAATATTGTTTTACCAGGATGTGATAATAATATACTGTATTTAGTACTGTATACATATAATTTATATAGCAAATTTCATTCATGCTGCTTATGCTAGTTTCATTACACCTCAAACAGTTCCAGCACAGTTACAATAAAAAGAAAACAGATAACACAATCAGTATCTATACACCACTCTGCAAGAACAACAATAGGTGATAATGAATTTAGGGTAATGTAATTTTTTTACATTCAAATCTTCTGTTGTCTTTGTATTATCTTCTGTTTTTTTCTATCTTTTTGTTTTGTTTGAAAGGGAAATTTGAATTTCATTATACAACCGTGCACTGAATTTAGTTTGTGGCCTTGTATTGGGGTTTTAAAATGAATCTTTGAATGTCTGTGGTCATAATTTCTGATCCATCGGAGTGAATGAGTTAGTCTTTACAGACAGAATGAGTAGGATTTCTTGGTTGCCCAAGAGCAGCATTGGTCAAGTGGGCTAGAGAGTGAAGAGGCGTTACGGAGAACAAAGCAGGGAAGCTTGTTTCATGGTGGTTACATTCTAAAGCAGAAATAAACCCGACCACATCTCCGCACAACCCTGCAGGAAGGATTTTGTGTGAATGCAGCGCTTCATCCTGTCTGCTGCCCTCTGCCCCGCTCTGTCTGCTGCTCTTTACACAACCATGACACTGTGTTCTGTGACCCATTCCCCTGCAGGTTGCTGGTCAGAGAGAACGGAGGTGCACAAGGCAGCGTCCCTCGGCCAGGCCTCCCAACTGCAGCACCTCATCCAGAGCGGAGCCTCGGTCAACGTGGTGGCGGTGGACTCCATCACACCGCTGCACGAGGCCTGTCTCCGCGGGCAGACCCAGTGTGTTCGACTGCTGCTGGAGGCTGGAGCCCAGGTGAGACAGACAGGGGGGGACTTTTCCAATATCCGTAAATATCCACACACTTCTTAAGTTTAGTTGATTAAAAACATTCAACCAAAAGTTCAGAACTGTGAAAAAAGAGAAAACAAAAAACAAATGTAGGAAAAATAAAAAAGGGAAGACACAGAAGGGAGTTGCCAGG